GGTGAGGGAGCGCCGCACTGTCGGAGGGTCAGTGCTGAGGGAGTGCCGCACTGTCGGAGGGTCAGTGCTGAGGGAGCGCCGCACTGTCGGAGGGTCAGTGGTGAGGGAGTGCCGCACTGTCGGAGGGTCAGTGCTGACTGGCTGGTTTGATGGTCGATCAGCTGTTGATAGAAGTTTGCTTTGCTGAGAGAGACAGTCGCATTTCCTCATCACGTTCTGCAGCGTTAATGATCAATTATTGTGGTGACAGATTCCTGAGACAGGGAAGAAATCTCAGGAGCTGTAGTTTCACTGAGTGCTATCACTCTCGATGAGTTAGTTCCTCCCATGTTTGGGCTTCGCGCTGAACTGGAATAGGAGCAGTGCACACCTACAAATCTCTCACAGCCTCTGGCAGTTTCAGCTGAGAAATATCACACCCATCAGGATTGGTTTCATTTTCTGTGCAACAGATTCCAATTCTCCTGAGTGTGTCAGCCCTGAACTGCCGACATCATGTCGCCAAAAGAATGTTTAAAACCAACCCAGGAGTACTGGACAGGGACAGTGTGGAGGGAAGTTTCCTTATTGTTTCAAGTGGTAGAGGAGGTTTTACTCACATCTAACCCCATGCTGTCCCTGTCCCGGGAGTGTTTGATGGGGACAGTGTAGAGAGAGCTTTACTCTGTATCTAACCCCGTGCTGTCCCTGTCCTGGGAGTGTTTGATGGGGGGACAGTGTAGAGAGACCTTTACTCTGTATCTAACCCTGTGCTGTCCTTTCCTGGGAGTGTTTGATGGGGACAGTGTAGAGGGAGCTTTACCCTGTGTCAAATATGACATTTTTTGTTCCCTTAAAATGGCTTCCAGAAACAAGAAAGAACAAGAATAAACATTTGCATTAAAATTCCACTTTATAAATCTTTACAAAACGGAGTCAGGTGCAACAAACTTATCAACAGTCACACACATTCCTGTGAGTAATATTCACGCACCTGCAATCACATTAAAAATTAAGTAAAACGAGCTGAGAGAGATGGGGCACAGACAGGTTCAGGGAGGGAGTTCCTGAGATTAGTGTCCTGGCCATTGAAGGCATGGCTCCCAGTGGAGGGAGCGATACGATCTGGGGGAGGTTACAGAAATAGGGAGGGGGTGTAGGGGCTGGAGGAGGTTACAGA